AGTCTGTACAAAGCACCACTTCTATTATGATGAAATGTAGGCATGGGAAGTGTCATTGACCCATCACATTGAAATGCAGCTTGGAATAGAACAGCAAGGTTGGTTTGCCAATTGATACCCACAAGAGAGTGACTTCCCAGAACTACTGATGCATAGACATAGAAATTAACAGTTGGTTGTCATGAAAGCAGGGGATGATGAATGGTGTGTGTGTGTGTGTATGTGTGTGTGTGTGTGTGTGTGTGTATTTACAAAGTTCTAAGTGATACCACATTGTGTTTATGGACAGCCTTATGCTCCATGAAAGAATAATGATGGATCTAGCCCTGACCCAACTGCTTTTTCCTACCTGATGCTCCTGGGTCTGGAGGTGTCTGATGACTTGTTCTTGATCCTCAGAGATGTCTTTTAATTCTCCCAAGTAGTGCTACAGCAGGATCCATTCCCCTAACACCTTCTTGGTCTCTTGCCTCAGCTTCTCCACTACATACTGCACCTGGGTCTTGTCCATCTGGAGTTGGTACGGTGGATTGCTGGAAACACAATCTGTATAGTAAGACCTTGACTCTCTTCCTACCACCCCTGCATCCATAACCCATCAATTCAACTCACCATCAGGTTCCATAATGAGAGAGAGAGAAGAGGCTAATCCAGCCATGACAGCTGCACTCAGAAGGCCAAAACTAGAGAACAGGAAATTCTAGAAAATATCAAACTATTTCCAAATATGCCAACAACAAAAGACATCTACCTATTTTTTCTAATATGAGTGGGTCCTTCAATGCCCTTAACTGACAATGATAATGGGACCACATCAGGAGGTAGGGGTCAAATTCACACAGAGAGCTGACAGGAAACCCAAGGGGTGTATAGGTCCCATGGGGGCAATAAGCCCATGCCTGAGAACCTTTTTGACACCAATCTGATGGTGCAAAATATTCCTGTAGCTAGAAAAGTGGTCCTTAAACTATGCATCATGACTCTTTTGGTAATGGAATTCCTCTTTCAATGTGTGGCATCTCAGATTTCCTCCATAATAGAAACTTACATCATGAGTCATAATAGTAACAACATTAAAATTACGAAGTAGCAGGAAAAATAATTCCATAATTGAATCTCACCAAAACATGACAAATTATTTTATCATGGTCATAATATTAGGAAGGATTAAAATCACTGAACTAGATTCTATTTAAGTTGGCAGTCTGGTGCTAGGAGGAGCTTACAGTCTCTCTCACAATTAGCAAAAATGAGTGTCATAAATACAAGTCCAAGAACTGCTTGCTAAGGATTCTTGCTAAGATCCATAATGGCTAGAACAAGAGCTGTGTACTCTGTGATCCAGAGGAAAAGATAGACAGATATAGACGCTACAGTCCCGTGCAAGACAGGCAATTACCAATAGAAGAGTGATTCCTTGTTGAGCTCATTGACTCTCTCCAAGGTTTTGTTGTTCTCATTCTGCAACCTATGCAGGTCTGCCATGACCTGCTTATGCTCCATATGGTGATTTTCAGGGAAATTTTTGGCCAATGGTAGGGCATGGACCTAGAAACAAAAAGCTCCAGGAACAAAGTTTTCATAGGTCACATGAATTCAGGCTATTTTCAAGGCTATTTCAGCCCATGGAATGCCACATTCTGTCTCCTGTGTCCTTGGAACATCTAGTGCTTATTAAACTTGCTATCCCAACACTAGGGAAACAGAGACAGGATATTAAGTTAAAGGCAGTTAAGGCTGCCTGAGTTCTTTCAAGTCTGCTGAAGTAGCTGGCTAAGTGTGTCCCTAGTCTCTACTTCATGGTCAGTGCCTGCAAAAACATGGGATAAAATTAAAATTCTCAGTCCTGGTGTCTGTCAATACAGAGGCAAAAATCCCACCATCAATATTTTTGTAGATAGTTTCCAGGTTTAACATCTGGGCAGCATTTAGGAGACATGGTATTAAGCAAAGGGACACCATGAAGGTAGAAATGCCTAAATCCCAGACCTTAGAGGAAATAAACTAAAAGTGAAATTGTGGAAGGAAGAAGGTCACCGTAGCTTTGAAAACACTGAATACCTGTCATCAGGGGATCCTTTAGTGATGGAGATGAGGCAGTATCATAGCTCCTTTGATTCTCTGGCCAATTGTTCTAGCTGTCTACACAGACTCTCCATCTATAGCCATGTGGTTTGAATGACATGTCAGGATAATTGGGGTTCTCAAAAATATCTGAGTGCCTGTGGACGATGCTAATTGTCTCCTAGTTTCTAAACTCACAGACTTATTAATTCTACAGGTAAGTTGAAGGAAGAGACTGCAGCTGTGAATGAGCCTGAGAAATTTCTTTCTTTCTTAACTTGAAGTATGTGTTGAGGAGGCAGAGGAAATCAGATAGCAGAGATACCCAACTTACTTCAGAGATCCCCAGGAGGGGCATTTCGAGCATGGGTTAAAAATCCATTGGTGTGTCACTGAGTCACAGGCATAGTAGTTTCCTCAATGAATTTTTAGGGCTCAGAGACAAACTGTAATTTGACTTGTGTTCCTCTATACACAGGAGCTGCTGAAGAGCCATCAACTCAACCAAACCTCACTAAGAAGAAAGTGAAGCAGAAGATGGAGAAAAACAAAAGCCAGATGAAACCACTCAGTACCCAGTGCCTTTCACCATTCCTGTACAATGATGGTTTGGGAGACAATGGCTGTTGCCTCTTCTCTGTCTTCCAAATATTGTACATTTTTCTTTGCATCCAGAAACACATACTTTTATATTTGACAATGGATAAAGCCAGTAAATCAAGAGTCACAATGTGTAAAAAGAAAACCTTAGCCTCCTATAATGTATGCAGAGTCTTTATTTAACTATCTCATTCAGTGATGTATAGGTAAGAAGCATTCTGACTGTATCAGCAAATGGAGAGGTCTTAGATCTTGGTTCAAACAGTAGAGAGTACTATTACTAGACAAGGAAGACCTTTAGTGACAGAAATCGTGGATGGAAACAGCACTTTATAATGTAATGCACAGCTTGAAAAATTTAATATTTTTAGTGGTGTGTGTCCATATTCATGTGTAAATGTGTGTTTACATGTGCATGTGTGTGTGTGTGTTGGTGTGTGTTTGTGTGTGCGAATGACTACAGGTTCCCTCAGGGCCTAGGGACATGGATTTTCCTTGTTTGGGCATTAAAGAGGGTTGTGAGCCACTCTGCATAAGTGTTGGGCACTGAACTTGATCCTCTTGAGAGTCTTACATTATCCATCATCAGAGATATTGCTTAGTGAACACACACTTCAAAAGCTGTGGGGGTGGAAAGTGTCTCCATTGTTATGAGAATGCTGTTCATCCACAGACAAGCCATTTGTGACTGTACCCAGAGGGTGACATTTAGCTCAATCTTTACTCTTTTCAGAAAAATACTAACTCTGAGAGGACATGTTCCTGTGTGACTATAACTTTATGGGAGAATATGGTCCTGTATGACCACAATTTTATGGAAGGATATATTTCTGTGTGTTTATAACTTTATGGAAGGATATGGTCCTGTGTGACTATGATTTTATGGGATGATATGTCCTTGTGTGACTTTAACATTTATTAGCAAATATGGTCCTATGTGACTATAACTTTATGGAACTATATTGGTTATGTAAGTATTGTTGACATGTAAAGATATAGAGAAAGCACAGTTGAGAAAAAAGTCTATGGAAGGAATCCTGTCTAAACAACAGTGGATCTGCAGCTACATGTAACTCAGAATCTCTTTGGTGCACCTAGGTCAATGACATGTCAGGGGAAGAGGAATTGTATTCATTTCCTTGGGTATTCAATATCATCAGTTTCTGTATTTTTCTAGGAATGCAAGTTATGTGGATTTGTTTTGGTTAATTTTAAGTTGCTGTTATGAAACACTATGATGCATGTAACTTACAGGAGAGTTTATTTACAGTTTCTGAGGGTTAGAGTCCATGTCCATAATGGTGGGGAGCATGGGATGGGGATACGGTACTGGAGCAATGGCTGAGAGCATCCATTCTGTTGGCACAACCGCAGGGCAGAAAATGTGGCTCTGCTAATGACTTGAGTCCTTTGAAACACCAAGACAAGACCACACCTCCTAACTCTTCCTAACTTTACCATCTGGGAACCAAGTACTCAAACACATGAGCCTATAGGTACCATTATCTTCAAACCACCAGAGGGTTTATTATTATTATTACTATTTTTGAGGTGATAGAGACTGACCTCAAAGCCTCAAGTATAATAGACTATGTGCTTCTCCAATGAGTAACACCATATCAATTATTTCCCAAAATATACATGTAATATAAAATTGTCATGTTTTCACTAAACTTTTATCAAGTTGAGTTATGATAAATGTTTCAAACATGAAACAAATGGCTATTTCAAGTAGTGATATTATTTTAAACAAAAATATTCATTTATTAATTTTTCTATTTTTTATTTTATATTCTAACCACAGTTCTCCCATCTTTCCTCCCACTCCCCAACCTCCTTCACTTATTAATTTAAGAATCATCTGTTAGTTATCTTTTAGGTTTATGATACCTCTCCAAGTGTAGGGTAAGAAAATGGAAAAAGTTTGTCTCTTACCGCAAAGTCATCTGGTAGTGAATAAATATGTGATGCCATTCCTTGCTTGTGTGATTTTTCCAGTGGATTACCACATAGACCATACACAAGAAACTTAGAAATGGCATGGAATGCAGTTCCTAGATCAGACAATGTAAAAGTTCAAATATTTCAATCACAACTATTCTTCAGAATTACAGAAGCACTGTTCAAAGGATATCAGGTGTCTTAGACAAATAAAAGATCCAAGAGCGGCACTACATCTCTGACTGTGAGAATGTAGGTCAACAATCTTCTGAGGTTAGCAAATTGCCTAAAATGGGGGTGGGAGAGGATGCATCTACCTAACACATATACATTTCCTGTTTAATTCTCAGCTCAAAATCATCCTTTCACTTTGACATTAACCTTTCCAACTAAAGAAATGAAGATTCACACATTCCATTGTCTCAGAAGATGAACTCTTCTCTGGTACTAGTGATTGTACTCTTGTTAATGGTTGGTAAGTGGGATGACACACAGAGCTTATGTGTTATTCTATGGTATTGATGTAAATTTTAAGGGCAGTTTTTCCTATGAGGCAGAATACAGGCCATCACCAAGATGACCGATACTGAATTGTTATTAATTTCCCTCTTTAGGAAAAAGCAATGAAGACTCCGTGACTCAGATGGAAGGTCAAGTGACACTCTCTGAAGGGACTCCTCTGACTGTGAACTGTTCCTATGAAACCCAACAGTACCCAGCCCTGTTCTGGTACGTGCAGTATCCCAGAGAAGGTCCACAGCTCCTATTCAGAGTCTCGAAGGCCATTGAGAAAGGAAGCAGCAGAGGTTTTGTAGCTACATATGACAGAGGATCCAGTTCTTTCCACTTGCAGAAAGCCTCGGTCCAAGAGTCAGACTCGGCTGTGTGCTACTGTGCTCTGAGTGGCACAGTGTCAGAAGCCACAGGGGGAGATGAGCACAAACTCTGAGAAGCAGGTCATGCCTGCTGAGTGTGTCTGACACCTCTCATTTAGGGACTAGGGGCAGGTCTGCTATTGTTGCCGATAACTGCACACACAGGCACTGCTGCAGTGTAATCCATGAAAATTAACATGAACAGCATATTAGGAGAACAGGAAGTGAGCATGCCTTACTTTAGACTTGACATGAAAGGGTCAAAGTAGTCACACATCAAGGTGACTTCTTTTTTTGTTTTTGTTTTGTGAGATGGTATTTCTACGAGCCCAGGAGCCAGGCTGGCCTTGAAATCTTCATTAAGCTGAGGTTGGCTTTGAACTCCTATTCTTTGAGGTTACACCTCATGTGGGCTGGAGATATAGGCATGAACCACCACACTAGAGTGAATTTGTGATTTCTTAAATATGAAATCTCTTGTTGAATGAAACTATGTATGTGTTTGTCATCCCTTAGAAGTTTTATTCCCTGAGCCAGACTCATGTCATTCACGAAATTATCATGGATTATGAGGCTACACATGCTCCTTATTCCTCACATGTTTTGGTAACTTATTTGTTTTTCCTAAAGTTTCTTACATTTGATTGAATTTAGAATAAAAGTTCTCAAAGGAGTCAGTCTGTATCTTGGGAAAATACATTCCTGCCACTTTTATTTGGCTTCCTTC